GGACTTCTCTCTCACTCTCTCTGTCTCTCTCTTTCTATCCTTCTCTCTTTCTTTCCCTTTATCCTCTCTATCCCAATCACGCCAAGATAAGATAAGATTAGCGATGACATATTCACTACCAACAAGGAAAATTAAGTTTAAATTTATCACAAATGTACGCCCTTTCCCCTCAATTTCCACCGCCCTAAATCCAAGCGATATTCAATGCAAAAATCCGTCTGTCTTCATGTATTTCGCCCAACCGCCATCTTTTCCCTCCCTGCCTCTTTACAATAATATATATATATATATATATATATATATATATATATCAATAGTTGACCAATATCTTCCCTACGTTGTTTTCGTATTTTGAAATTAGAAACCATTTATTTGGTGATGAATTTAAAGTCCTAATATCTTGCTTAAATTTATTACCCATTTTCTCTTCATAGAATGTTACAAGGCAATGAGTTTACAACGTTACAAGCTAACATAGAGGGTACATTGCAAAGACGTTTTCGTCACCACTGTGCAACATTGAAGAATTTTTATATGGCGTCATTTTATTAGTCGGGTCTCGAAAATTTTCATCAATATCAAATTTTCACTACCCACAAGGATGAATTGAGTTAAAATTTGTTGCAAATACAACGATAATTATCAATATCGACCCCTGCTCCTTTTTTCCCCCATTTTCCTGTTCAAAATCAAAGCGTTATTCAACGCAAAAAAATCCTTCTTTCTTCATGTATTTCGTCCCATCACCATCTTTGTTCCTTGCCTCTTCACATAATACAGATATATCGATGAAATATTTCCCCACGTGTTATTGTAACAAAAATAAAATGCGAAATAAATATTAATAGACTGGGAAGCAAAAACAAAAAATAGGTGTTATTTGAATTTAAAATCAATTTTAAAGTAGTTTCTTTTTCAACTTGAAACTAATTGAATATGTGTCCATAATTAACCACATCAATTTAAACGACTCTTTATGTTTTAGAATATAAACTACTAGGAGCATGGCTCGGCGTTGCCCGTGCTTGATTCAAAAATTGTACGACTCATACAGCAATCGCTATCACTTGACTTAAAATATTTTTGCCCTTCCTTGCCTTTAAAGGAGTGCCCTTTGCCGTGCTGATGTTGCTACATGCCTTACTTCTTGCCTGCGAATTTTTTTCTAAGCTCTATACTAAACATTAAATCTGTTACGAAAAAAGAACTAAACAAAATGAACACAAAACGATCAGCTTTAAAAAAGGACTCGTAACTGGAAAAACCGAATGAAAAAAGAATGTTAACAACAAATACGTTTTCACACGCAACCCAGTTCTGCGGAATCAGAATCAACGTTGAGTTTAAGCAAGCGAATGAGCCAATTGGAGTAAAGTGACATGCAGATTTAAATTTTTCCCACTTGTGACGAATGCAGCTATCGATTTTTTTGCATTCTAGCATGCTGAATTAACATTCGTGTCAGTCAGCTGTTGGCTCTCACGCTGGCCAATAGAATCTTCCTGCCTATTCGTGGCAGCCAGCTATTAGCTCTCCTCTGGCCAGTGAAAATGGCCGCAAACTATATGAAAACTGCCGTAAAAACAAAAAATTGATTATTTCCACTATCGATGGGAGTTGGGAAATGCAAAAGTCGGTCTTGGCCTTCCGCTAACTTGGAGCATGTGCATGTAAATTTTGGTGCAAATCCGTCGAAAATTGCGGCCGTGCATTCGTTAAAAAACACACACACACACACACACACACACACACACACACATCCTGTCTTTTATAGATAGAGATTTAAGCATCCATAATTGTGTTATTATACCATTGTTCAACGAATGCAAGATACAAGAACTAAAGGTACAGAGGCTGACGACCATATCAGGTTTAAACACCGGTTCCCATACGATTAGGGTGCTGCGGGTTTGGAAATGCGGTTGATGTAATGTATAATGGCCCGGGATTGTTGACTTGATTGATATTGCATTTATATTTTTGGAGGTCGTAGTTTACAGCCGGAAGAGAGTTCCATAGGCGGGAAGTGCGAGAGAAGAATAAGTATAGTGCTTACAGTTATATCTAGAAAACTGAACAGTAATATGATGAGACCTAACTGCCAATCTAGTACTGTACTTAACTTCAAGATGTCAATGTAGCAAAGGGGAAAGTTCATAACAATATTAAGGGAGAACATTATGAGGGAAATTCAAAACACCCCACATTATTAACAAAGCAGAAGAATATTATATACCATATAAAATCGGGTAATTTTAAGAAATTTTGATAAAATCGACCGTTTTGGAGTTATCGACAATAAAAGTTGGGACTGATTTGCGTCGCGGCAGCCATTACTGGCGTTGTTAGCATATGTTTGGTTCGGAATAATCTTGATTTTTACGCACGCATTGAGTCCTCAGTTGCGCAGTAATTGAGTCAAGTAAGAACCGTAAAAAAGCCATTAACAAGGTAACCTTCCGCGCAAATCTGATCAGCAGAGAATATATGAAAACAAAGCTAGTAATTGCTGCCGTGATGTAACGCGAATGAGTCCGAACTTTTATTATCAATAACTTCTAAACGGTGGATGTTATCAAAATTTCTTTTCGAATTAAGCATATACGTTTACACCTAAGTATAACAATTCAGAAAATTTTTATTAGATACTTAGCGTGGGGCTTAAAAAGCAAATTACCCATAAAATCTTATATACCATATATGTATACCATATACATGCCACTATTTAAATTTTTCGGACAATCATCCTCATCTTTGTTGCCATATTTATCACAACGTTTCGGCCGTTGTGCGCTCCTGAAGAAGGCCAGCCTTCTTCAAGTGGTTGGAATGTCGAACTGAACCCTTTATTTCCCTCGCTGGCGTAGAGTGTTTTACTTCCACGTGACATGTCTAATGGATGTCAGTTGTCTCCTGTTAATTCCTCTCTCCAATTCCTCCACCGCCTTAACCACGTATTGAACTCACACTCTTTGGGTCCTGTCACTGGATCTAACTAATGCCTTTATCCACTGTGCCATGTGTACTTGAAGACTTTTGTATATGAATTTCTAGGAATTATATTTCTGTCTCTCCTCAACCTATTTTACCAATGCTCATATTGCAATTTTTAGCTGTTATCATTTCATTTTTTTTACTAGGGCTCATATTGCAATTTTCGTTGTTGTTATTGTTTTTCTCTGGCACTCCTTATTACTGGTTCCCATATTGTATTCATTTCTATGCCCGATCCAAAACGTTGTGATAAATATAGCAACAAAGATGAGGATGATGGTTCGAACAATGTAAATAGTGTACAGAAAACCTCACATATATATGCCATATACCATAATATAACATATATATATATATATATATATATATATATATATATATATATATATATATATATATATATATATATATATATATATATATATATATATATATAAAAGGGAACATTGAAGTCAACACTCAGAGACGACAGGCTGTTTCAAGCTAGACGCAATGGTCAGGCCGCGAATGTTTGATTTTTCCCTCGACTATTTATATATATGCGTCAGTGGTGCATTGTGGGTAATCTATTTTGGCGCTTATTTTTGCGGAAGTGGCTGGTTTATTTATTTATTTAGTTGGGTTAATTTATTTTTCTTGTTTTACATTTTCAATTTGTATTATTTATTCTTTCGGTTTTTGATTTTTTATTAACGTAGTAAAAAAAAAAAAAAAATTGGAAGTGATTTGCTTTATATTTATATTTACATACGTTCTAGCTGTGATATTGAGCACTTTATCCCATAAATATAGCACAGCTTAAAACTATATTTCTTCATACACACACACACATATATATATATATATATATATATATATATATATATATATATATAGAGAGAGAGAGAGAGAGAGAGAGAGATAGATAGATCCCATATTATATACCATAAAATCTTATATACCATATAAAATGTTCGCTACCCACAAAGATGTATCTTCAAACGTTGGTGTGACAGGAATCACAATAAATTTGGAACGTTTTTTCTCTATTGCCATCCTAAAATTTAGAAACGAGTAAGGTAAATTCGGCTTTAGCTCTTAGTTTGGGACCAGTATTGGTGGTCGGCGGCAATTTATCGAGACTTTTGTCTCGAATTTGGAATCATTTTTATTCACATGGTTTGTGAATTATTAGTGCCAAGCCGCGGTAACATTTTCGAAATCGGATTAGTCCCAAAGCTGAAACATTGGATTAAGATTACATGATTATTTTCAAGATATATCGCGATAGTTTAATCTCGGCTTAACGAGACATCAAAACGCACGTGCAGGGCATTCAGAACGGATGGAAGGTGCAACAATCAGGATAAGCGATGTCTTTTCGGCTTTTTGGCTTCGTTGGTTGATTTTGTTTAGCGACATATAAACATCTAAGTTCTATTTATTGCCGAAATCTAAATAATTTGAACACAATTTTGTGGCTTCAACTAAATATATTTTGAAAGCAACTGTATGCCTTCAACTACAAATAAAATGCATTGTTGGTCATTTTACTATGAATATTGTTAGTCATTTTTTATATAAAAATTTATTTTGTACTTCCCTAGTGTTTTGTTCTTGTTTGGATGTTTATTATTTACCCATAGATGGGACCCTAACCAGTGCTATCAGACCTGGGAACAGCAGCAATTAAGTGATAGTTCCATGCCCCTTAAAACCTCCAATCTCCTGATCAGAGGCCTTGCTGCCGGATGTAGTTTATCGTCATACCCAGAACTGCTCTTGGTTTGTAGTAGTGGTTAGTGAGGCTATTTGACCATTGCGGATAAGAAGTGGGTTCGATTCTTACCGGCGGTTCCACACATAATTCCACATTAGATAATCCAATAAGAGTTGACCTATCGAGAATTTCATTGTCCCACGCTTCACTACGGCTTTTCAATGTTTCTCCAATCCTACTTTTAGTGGGCGTGTTCTTCCACCATTATTTTTTTTTTTACCCCAACTTCACACGGAAGCAGCCCCACTCAGAAGCAGCTCCACTCGACGGAGTAATCTCGGCCGAGGAAAGTCCAACACGAATGAGAAAATAACAAGGAACTGCTTCTGTTTGATGTTGGATGAACGACAGAGCTACTGAATCTTTTCCGGTAAGTCCTACGGTAGACAGACTGTCGCTACCTTCTTGTCTTCCTACTTGACTATTCTGTTTCCAAATGCATACGCTTATGCCATGTTTGCAGAGCAGTTGTTATTCTAAAGGGTATGATTAATATACTGATCATTTCTTTACTTTGAAAATACACAAATGTGGCACAAGGCCAAAAGGAGGGAATAGGAAAGGTTGGTCTTGAATCTATATTATTTTAAACTTAGTAGCCACAATTATTGACCCAAATATACCATTGTATTCTTTACACTAAAACAACGCATTACTACTTACCATTTTCATTACAGCCACCATAATATCTCCAAGACTCTATGAAATTCTAACTAGTTCCCATTTATCTGTGCATACATGTGAAGAATAAAAATAACAACTTTTAAAAATAGGAAACCCCCCAAAATAGGAAGAAAGTTATTTGCAACACTTACCAAGCAGTTATAGAAAAGGCAGAGGGAAGCTACATTACGGACGTGGAGGAGTGACTGTAGCCGAGATGCCTGATCAGGGCCAATAACACTGCAATATATTTAGATTTTATCAAGAGTTTCTAAAAATGTAGCAGTTTTATATATATATATTTCTGTGATGATTTTCAAATAAATTATATTTGCTCTACTCTGTACTGAGCACTCTTTTAAGAATAGTATTTGTTGGCTATTGGAATTTATTCTGTATACACCAACAGATAATTCTTGTATATATATGGATATAGATATATAGATAGATAACGTGATTGAAATGTAGATAGATAGATAGATAGATAGATAGATAGATAGATAGATAGATAGATAGATAGATAGATAGATAGATACTGTGATTGATATAAAGAGTTTGCGATATATATATATATATAGATAGATAGATAGATAGATAGATAGATAGATAGATAGATAGATAATGAACAGACTCAGATACTCAGATAGATAGATAGATAGATAGATAGATAGATAGATAGATAGATAGATAATGAACAGGCTTAGATAGATAGATAGATAGATAGATAGATAGATAGATAGATAGATGTGAACAGATCGAGATAGATGGATAGATGTGAACAGACTGAGATAGATAGATAGATAGATAGATAGATAGATAGATAGATAGATAGATAGATAGATAGATATATATATTTATATATATATATATATATATATATATATATATATATAGATAGATAGATAGATAGATAGATAGATAGATAAGAGCGGACAAAGACAGATAGATAGCTATGGGTATAGATAGATAGATAGGGAGAGAGAGATAGATATGAAGCTATTGAAATGTGTATATATGGATACAGATATATATACTTGTATATATATATATACAGATATATATACTTGTATATATATATATGTGTGTGTGTGTGTGTATGTTTCATTGAATATGACAGGCAAGGTACTTTGGTTATTTTTTTTTTATACAATTTCTCATGTGATCTTGTATTTTTTTTCTTTCCGGCTAATAAATTATATAAAAACTGTTCAACTGTTCTTTTTATTCGAGCGCTTTCGGCTATACATTTAACCATTTTCAAGGTTGAAATATACTAACTGTTAACAAGAAATAGATTGTTGTATGTATGTATTTATATAATGTATTCATTTTCAAATCCCAGTCAAGATATTGTGTCCATGTTCATGGTTAATATTACTGAATGAAAACATTATATAAATACATACATACAACAATCTATTTCTTGTTAACAGTTAATATATTTCAACCTTGAAAATGGCTAAATGTATAGCCAAAAGTGCTCGATAAAAAAGAAGTAATTGGAAAGTTTTTATATTTATAAATTATAAGATCACATGATAAATAGTATAAAAAACTAAATCAAAGCACCTTGTCTGTCGTATTTAATGTAACGTGCATGAAAAAAGGATTGCTGCCTAAATACACAAGCACACACACACACACATATATGTATATATATATATATATATATATATATATATATATATATATCAAAAATAAAAGTCTTAAGATGTGCTATATTTATTGATAAAGTCTCAATATCAGAGATAGAGCGTGTGTAAATATAAAAGTGAACATCTATGTCAACACTTAGAGTGACAGTCTGTTTCATGCTAGATGCAATCATCAGAACACCTTTTATTTCGTCCATTTCGTCTCTCATCTTAAGACTTTTATTTCTTCACATATATATATATATATATATAAGGAGAGAGAGAGCGAGATAGAGAGAGAGAGAGAGAGAGAATTCTAACTGTTTAACTATATAGCAGATGTTCCAGGCCATATAGCATTGCAGTGAACATGTGTCTTGAGTTGTGGAGAGCCATGATCGCCCAGGTCTTGGGGGAGAGGGGAAACACGACATATAAAAAGATGGCGATACAGTGAGGTTTTAGTTTACACGGTATGCATTATGCTAAAGAGTGTTTCAGCATTTATGACAGCCGATGCTAAATTGCATGTGTAAATTGTCTGTAAAACTGAAACCTGATGTGGCGCCGTTTTACGCAAAATAAAAAGAAAAACTTCTAACCGAAGTAAAGAAAAATATAAAAATTTCTATTCATTTCATAGATTGATACAGAAAATGAAAGAAAGAAAAGAAATGAAATATATATATATATATATATATATATATATATATATATATATATATATATATATATATATATATATATATATATATATATATGTATATAATAAATTAATTGATTTAAAATGTTTTTTTTTTTTTTATATATAGATATTCACTTTATATATATATATATATATATATATAGATATAGATAGATAGATAGATATAGATATATATATATACGATTGAAAAAGATAGATAGATAGATAGATAGATAGATAGATAGATGATTGATATATAAATGAATACTATGATTGATATAAAGAGTTTGATAGATATATATATATAGATAGATAGATAGATAGATAGGGAGAGAGATAGATATGAAGCTATTGAAATGTGTATATATGTATATAGATATATAGTTAGATACATAACGAGACTGAGATAGACATGAAACGATTGAAATACACACACACATATATATATATATATATATATATATATATATATATATATATATATATATATATATACAGAGGGATATAAGGAACAGACTAAGATAGATAGATAGATATATACATAAAAGGTATTCGAAAAGATACACTCTTCACATTTAACTTTGTCCTATTATTTGTAGAATTATACCTTTTCGTATACTTGCTTTTTCGCCCAACGTCTGCAGTAGGCTAAAGAATAAGTCGACCGAAATGTTGCGTTAACATCTGCATGTCTACGAAGAAGAGACTCAATTTTGCGAAGAAACTTGGGTATGCTAATGATTCTTTTGACATTTCTAGACGACAGATTCTTCATTCAGACTTTGTAAGGCTATAGTCGCTCGCCAATCAAGTAAGCTCTTAAACAGTTAAATGGAAAGAAAGAAGAATTTCTCATGATGCTAAAAAACTCGTTCAAGGTCTTAGAACATTTCCAGAGTTTGAAAGGAATCCAACCCGGTTACAATCATTGTCCGACACGACTAGAAATCAGTTAAGTCGCGTCATTAATGTCTGCTTTTCTCGCGAACAAATTTGTAACGTGTAATTTACTGTGGCCGAAATTGGTCAATTCTTCAAACGCTTTTGTTACCATTTGGAGAGACAGGCATTTTTAAAAGGCCGTCTATTTGTTGCCGTCCTTGTCTATCCCTATTCATATCTTACCTATTTCAATCTGTTCATATATGCTCGTTTCAGTTTGGTATCAATCTATCTTATTCAATCTATCTATCTATCTATCTATCTATCTATCTATCTATCTATCTATCTATCTATCTATCTATCTATCGATCTACTTGTCTCTCACTCTGTTCTATATCCAAACACGTCTGTTAATATCTATTTATCTAGCTATTTCTCTCTGTTCATATCTATCTCAGTCTGTTCATATCTATCTATCTATCTATCTATCTATCTATCTATCTATTTATCTATCTATCTATCTTGCCTGTTCATATCTATCTGTTTGTTTATATCTATCTATCTATCTAACCTGTTCATATCGATCTGCTTGTTTATATCTATCTATCTATCTATCTATCTATCTATCTATCTATCTATCTATCTATCTATCTATGTGTATAAGAATAGGCTTGTGCATACAAGAAATGGAGAAAAGTGTAGACAAAAAAAAATACTACAGAACACAACATTATGTGAGGGAGTTGCTGAAAATCTCCCAGCCAGACTCGCTTCTCCTAGAAAATATCAAATTTTTTACTCAGGTCGACATTTTTCAATCTACACTATCGTATATATATATATATATATATATATATATATATATATATATATATATATATATATATATATATATTGTAAAAATAACAATATCAGCCAGACGTTCAATGTAGCAGGTAAAGTGAGTTATTTATCTAATCTATAAAAATTTATGTGAAAAATCTTAACCCCATACCAATTACCATTATCTGAAAGTAACGACTAACCAATGGATTGTTAGAACAGGCTTTTCTCACAAAGCTTTGATTTTGAGCCTATTTGTGGCTACGTTATATCTGGCTCAGAGAAATAAAAAGCAAATTTTCTGGAATAAAAGATTTGTGAAATAAAAATCATCCTTTGGATTATTTTTTAGCCAATCAGGATAACGGAATTCGAAATCCAGGATAATTTACAAAGATAACTGAATGGTCTAAATATAAGCAAAGTCTCTGTCCGGTGAAAATCACTTTTCATTCATGCATGGTCAGAATGAATAGGCACATCAACTAACAGTATCTGCTGAAAGCAAAAAGAGCATTAGACACCATCATTTGAAGTTAAGCAACGCCGGGCTTGGTCTGTACCTAGATGGGAGAGCGCACGGGAATACAAGCTGCTGTAAGCTTAGATGTGGGGATGATGTAATCAGTGTTAGAAGTCGAAGAGCCGAGTTTCAATTCCATTTTGATTCGTTATATTCACCTGTGCGCAAATACCCTTGGGAAAGGTAGGAATCCACTATTTATCCCCTCCCAGCTATAGGTTAATCAGTAAGACTTGTACCAATAAATAATTATCTCCAAAAAAATCTTCATATCAAAAAATATTTTCTGGTTTTGTTGGATTCAGCCCGTAGGAATGACTGCATAAGTATTCCCTTCCTGAAATTGGTAGAGAAATAGTACAAATGCATTCTGGGATTTCTCTCTAGCCATATTTCTGTTTTTCTTTTGTGAATTTTCTGCATTATTACACTTGCTTAGCCTACTTTTGACTTACATATATATTGTTTGATTCCTATTATTTTTTACCTGTTCTTTTCTTTCTTTTGTTATATTTTATTGGAAACTTTGTCAATTCTGTTGGTTGGGAATTTCTGCCAATTGCATTTAACCATGACCAATCAGTATACATGCTTTACATGAACTGGAAAAGGTTGTTCAGCCGTAAAAGTCCTCATTGTGCATTGATCATTAACAACACTATCCCCTACTAGTAGAGATCAGCGCGACTTCTGACAGGTCAGATTATTAATATCAAGAGTTATTCCGCATTAGCAACGTCATTTAAACATTATCACCTGTGGAAGTATCTTTCCTCAAACAATCTACCTCGAAACATATTAATATTTTGTGCAGCACACAAACAAATATTTTGAGTAAAGCAAAATACTCATCATTCGTTTACAATTGCAATTTATTCTAAATAAAAGAATTAATTTTATTAAATTTCTCACAGCCGCCTAAAAGTACTATACGGTGAAACTAATAAACAAATAATCTTTATATTTTCAGTACATAGAGATTCTAGATAAAATACAACTGAGAATCTGCTCTACTATTGGTCCAGAACAGGCATCTTGGATTCAGTCATATCCCCAACATCGTAATATAACTTATCTTCCATTTTCAATCAATATTTTCATGGAAATTATTCAGATAGGCATTCTTCGATTTATATGTAATCATTAAAAGGAATGAAAGTCTTGACATATTTGTTTAATAAATCCTATCCGTTATATATGTAATCATTAGAGGGAATGAAAGTGTTGACGTATTTGTTTAATAAATCCTATCCGTTATATATGTAATCATTAGAGGGAATGAAAGTGTTGCCATATTTGTTTAATAAATCCTATCCGTTATCTATGAAATTATTAGAGGGAATGAAAGTGTTGACGTATTTGTTTAATAAACCTTATCCGTTATATATGAAATTATTAGAGGGAATGAAAATTTTGACGTATTTGTTTAATAAAGCCTATCCGTTATATATGTAATCATTAGAGGGAATGAAAGTGTTGATGTATTTGTTTAATAAATCCTATCCGTTATATATGAAATTGTTAGAGGGAATGAAAGTGTTGATGTATTTGTTTAATAAAGCCTATCCGTTATATATGAAATTATTAGAGGGAATGAAAGTGTTGATGTATTTGTTTAATAAAGCCTATCCGTTATATATGTAATCAGAGGGAATGAAAGTGTTGACGTATTTGTTTAATAAATCCTATCCGTCATATATATAATCATTAGAGGGAATGAAAGTTTTGATGTATTTGGTTAATAAATCCTATCCGTTATCTATGAAATTATTAGAGGGAATGAAAGTATTGACGTATTTGTTTAATAAATCCCATCCCTTATATATGTAATCATTAGAGGGTATGAACGTTTTGACGTATTTGTTTAATAAATCCTGTCCGTTATATACGAATTTATTAGAGGGAAAGAAATTTTTGACGTCCTCGATCAATATGTATCACACCGCCTTCTCCCAATGGATATTTCACCGTGCTTATTTCGGTATCTGATCTCTCTAACGGAACGTTATTTCTGACTGAATTAATTCACTTGATTTCTGGATAGATGAGACATGCGCTCACGGGTATTTTTTCTGGTATTATTTGTCCCTTCATTATGTGTGATGGATTCAGTTGTTTCTGTCATTTGGCGTTATCCGACTGATACTCAGGCATCCTAAATTTTGTGCAACTTCGAAGCATGAATATCCTACTAGCAGGTCTGGGATGGAACCTTTCATTACCACCGACTTAACACCGCCGACTCAACACCGCCGACTCATTACAGCCGACCCAACACCGGCCAACTCACCTTCATAACAACTCAACTCTCGGACAACTCACCACCAACCTATTCAGCATGAAGAAAACTCAAATCTGGTGTCGAATTCATAGCTTCAGACTGGTGTTGCCTGTCATCTGAGCACATGTTTTATATCAGCTTTACCTCATAGAGATTTCGGAAGTTTGACTGCTTGTCTTTGCTGTGACCCAAGTAAATGTTTAAAGAATTAACAAAAATCAGGTTTGGAGATATATCATATATTAAACAGTAACTACAACTGAAGATTATTACACGACTTGTGAGTGTGTGTTGGATGATCCAGCGTTCAATCTATTCGACTGTTCCTTCTCTCCTACTAATTTTATAGTAGACGGAAGAGTTTAACATAGACTCTTTAGAGGGAGGCCACAATATTCTTAGTGATTTATTAGTTATAACAGCCTATTTGGTTGACTGTTGTTTAATTTTCAATATCGGACAAAATCCATGCCGAACTAGCAAATAGAAGATCGTGCCCAGAGCATGGGGTAGAGCACCCTACAATATGTAGATTCATTACGGGCCTGTAAAAGGTGCAATGAAACCGAGAAGCATTTTACGAGAAATTTATTGGAGCTCACCTACTCCCCTTAAATTGCAGAAGTATCTGAATCAGCTGAAATAATTTTGCAGATTTTTTCTTCTTTTACCAAAGGATCTCTAACTGAATATCTGAAGGGTATTACATAACATTTTCAATACTTTTTAAATTAAAAATGAAGTAATGTATTTAATAAATGGTTTCATGGTTTGCATGTCGCTGAGTTGTTCTGGGGTTGAGTAGTCTGGTGGTGAGTTGTCTTGGAGTTGAGTTGTCACAGAAATTATTCAGCCTGTTCTGAGTCGGCGGTTTTGAGTCGGCAGTGTTGAGTCGGCGGTATTGAGTTGGTGATGATGCGTCGTCCTGCACCCCAGCGGGTGTAATAATATAGGCGCTATTGCACTATCACTTTGTGAATGGATTCTGGATCGTGCAATAGTATCCGGTGGTGCCTCTCGATACTATGATGAAGGTTACTCTTACAGCTGTATCTCCGGATAATTCAATCCAGTTTATTTATGTATGCATCTCCTGTGGGTGTATCTGTCTAACTACCTAGTTTTCTACAAAACAAAATGCAATCGGCACGTGAACACAAGTAAATAGAACAAAAATATCAAACACGCCCTCACAAAAATAAAAATAAACCTCAGCTTCACTCTCTCCTACACCAATGAGAGGGGTCTAAGTTTCACCTTTGCAGAGGTAGACCTCTATCTTCTTGGTGCCAAATCTGATTTCGTATTCCTGTCCCAATCCCGGACTAGTCACCCCGATAGCTAAACAGGTCCATCAAAAATAGTCATGAACATGAGTCGGCGCCTATATTAAGATGGATTTCCCTGTAGCAGAGACCAAAAGAACGACAACCCCGATCTTCCGCTCGTCACATGTACCCTTTCACTTTCATTTGTTTCTCGCTATATTCTCAGGACAATGAGACATTAATGTTCGACCGAATATTTAAGAGGATCGATTATAGCCTCACTGGATTTTCCCTCGATCAGCTTTCATATCAGTGGTAGTCTCAACATTCATCACAAGGAGTTCACTCGAACAGAACTGACGAAGAAGGCGTATACCGCAGAGACGTCTCCGTCGCAGACGGACGAAATCAGATCATTAATAAACCCATGTTCCTGATCCGACAGGACACCAATCGAATGTTCTTGACCTTTTCCTCACATCCTGCCCTGATGAATGCTTCGAACAAGTTTTGCACCACTTCACCTCATCCTGGAAACCTCAGATCAGTGAACAGTTTGTGTCAAACGAAAAGTCGCAAGCCTCTCGCTGGCCTATCGTAATTTCCATGGAAAATCTTCAGATGAACTACATTGCTACCTTTACAAGAGCCAGATCAGGCCGAAAGTGGAGTACTGCTGCCATATAGGGGTGGGAGCTGCCCAGTATTCACTCATATAGGCGATGAATTTTCCACTCCGCGAAACCTTCCTCACAGATGAAACGTTGCAAGACTCTCGCTGTTCTATCGTAATTTCCATGGAAAGTGTTCAGAACAACTATATTCTTTAGCCCCACCAATTCAAAAACTTCACGGCTAGGACCCTCCATGCCACGCCTATTGTAGCGAACCAACCATATTCCCTTCATATCCCTCCTAGGTGAGGTGTAAGTTGCATGAAACTCTTTTAAAAATGGTCAGTACCCTGTAACACTCCAAGAAGTACCTGACCCCTCCTGTTCTCCAGTACCTTTACAAGAGCCAGATAAGGCCGAAAGTGGAGTACTGCTGCCATATATGGGTGGGAGCTGCCATGCCACACCCATTGTATCGATCTACCTTCATTGCCTTCGTATTCTATTGTAAGTTCCATTCGAATAGCTTCTTTCCACGAACCGCTGATTTAATTTTGCTTCTCTTTTCTGGACATCCAAACGCTTTCGGCTATTCTATTAAACATTATCAAGGAGGATTTTATATTTACTTTTAACTGAATGTATGAATATTTTATGTACGTATCTAGAGTTATAGGAATTATTTGTGTTATTTTCTAAATTCGCTCATACAAAACATTCGGACAACTTTCTACATACTATATGTTTCTAAAAGAAAATATTCGAACAAAAGAAAAAATTAATTTAAACAATAGCCGGGGTACCTTCTCAGTAGATTTTAACGAAACTTGTATAAAAAAAGAGATTGCTGACCAAATAGAATATATATATATATATATATATATATATATATATATATATATATATATATATATGTCTTTTGTGAATGTGTGTGTTAGTAACTGTATATAAGTGCGATAGCGTGCGTGCGCAGACAAGCAAATAAATATCTATTTAATTTAATTTATGGTACAAACAAAACAGTGCTCAATGTAGTATATACTAATAAACATATATATGCCTACGTAGGTATATGTGTATTTATTAATATATATATCCCCCACAATTATTAATTACTCCTCTCCAACAAAACTGGCAATAAAAATAACACTCCGTCCCCAAAATTCAGATAAAAATGACTTAATATTACTTGACTGTCTATCGTAACGAGGACAATAGAACTGTAATGTTGGACCGAATATTTGAGTGGATCGATTCTATCCTCAATTGATTTTCCCTCGGTTAGCTTTCATATCTGTGGTGGCTTCAATATTATCTACAAAGAGTGCTTAGTCCCCTGACGAAGAAGGCGTATACCGCAGAGACGTCTCCGTCGCTGACGGACTAACTCAGATCATTGATGAACCCACGTTCCTGATCCGACAGGACACCAATCGAATGTTATTGACCTTTTCCTCACATCCTGCCCTGATGAATTCCTGGCTAAAGTCTTACCACCACCTTCTGGTCATTTCAAACAATTCTCTACTTAGTGTCCAAATTGATGCCAAACAAAAGGCCATACCTTGATATGCCGTTCCATTTTTTGATCCAGGAAATCAGACCGGGAATGCTTCAGATGGAGGACGTTCCTCTTACTGCTTTCTTTAAACATACGGCCCCAAAAATGCTCCCCTCGTCTCAGAAGTGACCTTTACTTGAATGGAGAGTTTTATAACCCAGAAAGATTTCCAGTAACTACCGAAAAGCCAGCCCTGGTTCAATCCTGAATGTACTGCAACCATAGCCCACCGTAACCACTCCTACAATATTTATCACAGAGAGCGGTGAATTAGGGCACTTGCTTCATTCAGAAGTAAAAGAGAGTTCTAGAAAATTCAAAATGTCACTAGCCATAAGCAGTCCATGCCAGATTTCTGGAAATTCTCCAAGAAAATTGTGAATAAAAACTCTGTCACTATATATTTAATCATTAGACTTCGTTGCGTTCACTTACTCGCAAATACTCCTGAGAAAGTTATGAATCGATTTCATCACTGAATCAAATGGCCTTGGTTGGTAACCAGTCTAGAGCACAAAGTAACTGCAGCCTACTGCGGGAATTCCTCTGCTAAGTCAAACATGAATCGAAAAAGTAATATGATCATCCAAGGGTCTATAATATAAGGCAACGAAGGAAGGAAGGAAGGAAGGAAGGAAGGAAGGAAGGAAGGAAGGAAAAAAGGAAGGTAAACTGATGAAGGGATGGATTTGTTTAATATAGCGTCACCCCCAACACCAAAAAAATACTTAAGCTTTTTAATTTAATTCTAAAAATATAAAATAATTCTTGAAGCGTTCATTTTACATTTAATTTCAAACTAATAGATTATATTTAATATTTCCAATAGGCAAAATGCTTTACTGTATTTCAAAATCTTATTTAAATTGACTGAAATGAGTTGTTTTTTGTTGTTGTTTTTTTTTTTGTTTTGTTTTTCCAAAATAGCTGATTAGCGCCCTTTTTTTTTAGTCTTCTTTCATCACAATGTAAATCTCTTTATTAAATCTTCCAAAAACAATATATACTTTTCTGAAACTTTATTTGAGGAATATTAATTGATTTGAAGTATAATTAATTTGATTTGAAACAAATATTATTTACTCAAAGTTTAAAATATCGTAGAAATGCATTTTTTTTAACCTGACAGGAGCTGTTTTGACCTACTGACAGCCTGATGACAGGTCGAATTTTGTTCTACGGAGACTTTATCTGTAAACATAATTTATGAAAATGAGTACCTTTTTATGTAATTTTGAAGTACTCAGTAATCTTAAAACTTTGGAAAATATTTTCCATAATCTAATGTTTTACTGAACTTTAGAAATATTAACTTTAAATTTAATATAGTTATTACTTTTATTTTCTGATAATGTCGTGTATAGTCACACGCATTTACAAAAATCGACACGTTTATACACATAACAAAAAATATATTGATGATTGATGATTTGTATGATGCTTTTCCATTTATACTTAGTAAAAATAGTTTTCACTTAATAATAAAATATTTTCTAAAAGGCTGAAATCAATACAGAATTTCCAAAGTTTTTAATCTTAATACATTTTTCTACTTAAAATTTTAAAAATGTAAACAATTCTTACAGAAATTCATTATTCATCGAATTTTTTTCTTTAGACAAAAGTGTTCATAACATATCTTATTTATAAAGCAATTAAAATCATTTCTAATTAAATAATGTCCCAGTTTTATTGTATTTTTTATTTTACGTTTCAGAACATATTTTCGTTAAATCGTGTTGCTGTTTGATAAAAGCAAATTAATGATTTAAATACTCCAAGGACTTCTGCTTTTAACTAATATATGTATGAAGATACTGAAAATTTAATTTCTCGAGATTTCATAAAATTAATTAAGTAGTGGTAAAATATGTAAAAAAAAAATATTTTATCAAGTTTTCTTTTTAAAAAATAAATCCAAAACTAATATCCTTCATTTGTGAATAAGTCCTGAAAAGTTCATTAAAATCCGACAATTATTTGATTTTTGCAAGAATTTCCGAATCAGTGTGAATTTCACCACAAAAAAAAATACTAAATTTCCTAATACTAGTCTTTGGGTTACACGCTGACACAAAAATAACAAGATTTTTAACCAAAATTTCGAACGTGCAAGATTTAAAAAAATAATAAAATAACCCAAAACTACTTTGGTCTTTCCCCTTAATAATAACATAAACATTTTAACGATAAAACTTTGTTTTTGTCAAGTTTGAGTTTTGTTTTTTTTTTTTTATCATGGTATGCTTTTCTTTAGAATATTTTCGGAAGTACCTAGCTTAATATATCCTAAAGTTGGTGCCGTTAATATTATTAACATATAATATGAATTCATTTTACTTCGTTGGAGGTTTATCGCTAAGAAATGCCTCGCAGCATTGACAAAGGGAAAGATAAGCCGGAGGTTGGATGAATTTAGAAAGCTGACCCTAAAAACAAACTGTGAATAGAATTTCGGAAAAGACATGATGAGATTATCAAATAACAATTTTACGTGACGTGGTTCCATAACATTCTTTGTTGACTAATGTCAATATTTTTTTCTTTTCTCAGTTATAAGAAATGTTTCTCCTGGATTAGAAAGCGTAAAAGGACCTGCGTGAATCAGGAACAAATTAGCCGTAAAGTAGTTTCTAATGCAATTTTTTAAAATATTCTCTCTGAATTTCTAAGATGAGGAATTTGTCTGATTGTTTGATTTTCTACGGTTTATCAACCCATGTAGGTTATTTAAAGCCAGAAAATATTTTTAGATTTTAAATTTATGTTTAAGATAATAATGACTTCGTGATACAAGTCTTATGATTTAATCCATAACTGGGGGAGAAGAGGTAGATTCATATCTTTCGCAAGATCATTTGCCTGTAACCGGATATAACAAACTGAACGGAAATTGGATCTCGGCTTTCCAATTCCGTGCCATTATCTTTTACACACCCATGCTTGCAGAACCTGGCATTTCCAAGCGGTCACCCATCTAAATACTGACCAGACTTGACGTTGCTTAACTTCGCTGAATTGTACGAGAACCGGTATTTCAAAGTGGTATGGCTGATACCCATACCACCCGTATATCCTAGCATACAGCAACTGGTATCCCCAAGCGGGCACCCATCCAAGTATAGACCAGGCTCGACATTGCTTAACTTCAGTGATCGTACGACAATCGGTTTTTCAGTGTGATGGGCCGAGCGTGTAAGCGTGTAAGCGTGTGAGCAACGAAGAGGTCTTAGAGAGGATGCAAACAAGGAGGAGGCTTATATTTAACATCAGAAAGAGGCAACTGAAGTTTCTGGGACACGTAATGAGAAAGGAGGGCCTGGAGAATCTGATACTCACAAGTCGAATAGAGGGAACAAGAGACAAAGGAAAGCAATGCATGACATACCTGGCCGGCTTATGCAAGTGGATGACAAAACGTGGTCTGAGGGAGGTGTCAGAGGGACAAAACTTATTGAGAGCTACAAGGAAGAGGGGAAAATAGATGGTCATGATCGCCTACGTCATGAAAGGATACGGCCCATAAAAAGAAAAGAAATGTCTGTAAGCCGTATGAGAATAAGAGGAGGTGGTAAGAAATGTAGTTTATGAGGATATGTTTGGTAGAAAACGGTTGACAATTCACGGGATACGGTGTTTCAACCTGATATGTCCTTAAGGTTAAGATGAGGAAATACATTATTTAAGTTATTTGCAGTCGGGTAAATACCCTCGGCTTTTTGTGTTTTTATTTACATGCGGACTATCTTTTCTGTTGTCATCACAACGTTTCGGTCGCTATGTCCTCTGGCCTTCATCTTACGGAAATTTTCCAACTGAACACTTTATTTAATCTGCAGCGGTAGAATGTTCACGTATCACTACACTTATCTGGGGAAATCTCGTATCGTTCCTAGTTTTAGTACTGCCCCTTTATTCTGACGTAGTCAGCGGAAGGAAGACAGTTTGCCCCGTAAACTGTGAAAACTGGAGAAAGGTGGAAATGTTTTGATAGTAACAACAAGAATGATGATAATAGCCGGCACTCAAATATTGTAAATGGCGAAGGCTTGTTAATAAAAATATTATCTTCTCGTAAAATAAAAGAATTTATAATTAATTTATATCTCTACAATGGCTTATAATATTACGATGCTATAAACACAATGAAAATTATTTGTTATTACTCTAATGTCATTTGTTATTTATACATTATGAACTGAGGTTTTAATCTATATAATTAACTCTATTGTCACATTTCAAAATAAATTGTTTTTAGATCATTAAAAATAAAAATGAAGATAAAATAAAATTACAAAAAAATAAAAATAAAATAAAAATATAATTAATAAAAAATAAAAATAAAATAAAATAAAAAATCATTAAAAAAATTAAATTAAATTAAAAAATAAAATAAAATAAAAAATAAAATTGATTAAATATAAAATAAAATAAAAAGTCTTTAAAAATAAAAATAAAGATAAATTAAGATTAAAAAAATAAAAAAAATAAAAATAAAATAAAAAAACAAAAAATAAAAAAAAAATAAAAAAACATTAAAAATAAAATAAAGATACAATAAAATAAAAAATAAAATAAAATAAAATAGAATAAAAAAAATAGAATTAAAAATAAAAAATAAAATAAAATAAAAAATTCATTAAAAATGAAAAATATTCAAATAATACGACACATGATCAATACCGTCAACAGAAACATGCAAATTTAATCGTCCTCCGGTACCGTGGTGTTTAAAAAGGTCCCATCTAAGATATATATGCAACATTTAGTTCTTAATTTTCTTGAAATCGGAAAGAGAATCTAAATTTCTAGGACAATAAGAAAATGTCGCTTGGAGAAGTTAACACTCACCTGACATATTGAAGGCAAGAGAGACAGATCTTCAATATATTCCGTGAGTATTACATTTCCCAAGCCCTTTTTCCTCATTATACAAATTTCGATTGTCTCTTTCTGATTCTAAGTATAACTATCCATTTTATTTCTATTCTTTTAAATTATTTCACCCCAAACAAGGCAATAAAGCCACTCAGACGCAAGAGGTTACTGAAGGTTTAGAGACTATGGGGAAGAATTACTATTAAGGAGAGAGAATAATAAAAGAACAAGAATTAAGAAGACAGAATATAATGATGTACATTTCACTTAGATCAAAATTGACAGAGAAAGAAGAAGCTGAGAGTTCCCCAAGCGAGAAGTGCGATAGAAGAAACTGTTAACATAGAACTTACGGTTACATTTAACATTTTCAACTGTAAAATGATGAGACCTTGCCGCCAATCTAGTAGTGTGCTTAAATTCATAAAGTCTAGGTACCATAGAAAAAAGTTCATTAGAACAATTAGCATGAAAGTATTTATAGAAAATCCACAGGCAAGGAACATTGCAGCGGCGGGAAAATGACTGAAGTCTAGATGCCAGTTCAGGACCAATAACATTGCAGATTATTCTTTGAATTTTATCAATAATCTCTGACTATATAGCAGGAATCCAGACCAGATGTGGCAGCTATATTCAAAGCAGGGACGAATGGTAGACTTATAAATATATAAGATAGATTCTAGCGTGAAAAAATTGTCTAGGATGATACGGCAAACCAAGCTTCCTAGCTGCAGACTTAGCAATAGATTCAATATTTCAATTTTTCCACTTCAAGCGTTAGTTCAAGAAGCAGAAATGAGTCACTCTACTGGAGATTAAAATTTGCCACGCTGATGTAAGAAAACTTTGTCGTTGCACATATGATAAGTATATGGTATCCTCAGCATCCTTCTGTAGACCTGCATCTCTGTTGATTCAAGGATCTTCTTCATCTTTGAAGAGATTGTCCAGCATTCACTGCTATATAGCACGGATGGGGTTGAATTAATCTAAGTACAAATATCTAAATATAGTCTTTATAAATCACTTAAAAAACGCTGCGATTATTTGCTCTGAACACACACACACACACACACACACACATATATATATATATATATAGAGAGAGAGAGAGAGAGATAGATAGATAGATAGATAGATAGATAGATAGATATAATAGTGAACATTGAAGTCAACACTCAGAGGTGACAGACTGTTTCATGCTACACGTAATCGTCAGGCAGCCCCACTTTTATATCTATATTTACATACGCTCTATCTCTGGTACTGAGCACTTTATCCCATAAATATTACACACCTTAAAACTATACTTTATCACACACACACACACACACACACACACACACACACACACACACATGTATATATATAAAAAACATTACCAAATAAGAAAAACTTCATCACTTGAGGACTTCCGACAGCAGCAACAACTAAAGTGGATATCACATGCAACTAGAAGGGAAAATAATGATATAAGATGAGAAATGAATCGTTATTATAACTAGCTATAATAATGTTAGTGAAAGGTCGTAGAATAGAACAGATGGTGTTAAATAAATATCAGTACAAATTTCTAAATATTGTCTTTATAAATCACTTTAAAAAACTTAAGATGGTTTATTTTCGAGAGTACGGCCCTCAAATAACGGGGAAAGTCTTCTGAGTTGTTTGAGATGTAGAATCGTTCAAATCAGGCTAATTTCCCAACTGTAACAACCTTACGTTCAACGAGTTTATCTATTTAGACCTTTGCAGCTAGAACGCGCCATGACGCATACCTACTGCTTCAGGTATAAGAAGAAATTTCTACATGTATTGCTTCAACAGCCTCCCGCGTGGATGCTTCCCTGAGCACTAAAATTCAAGCGTCTATCGCTCTTTATCCTGCCTAGTGATCGCTTCGAACAATCTCACCTGTCATTCATTTCTGACACTTTATTGATCATAATCATTTTAACAATAACCCTCTACACAACAACCTTAACTTCTTCAAAAGGGTTAATCGTTATCTATCCTCCTTATCCTCATAATCTTCACTTTCTATCACCTTCTCTTTCATTCTTATCTGACATCTCATTCATTAATACCATTTTAAGATTAATCTTCGACATTTAGGGCTCTCAGGACTTGGATGAAATTTAGTTGAAGAAACACTAGATCATAGACAAATACAAGAGGACGTCTTGTTCGTGGCGTAAATTTGACGCTGAAATATACCTTTCTTTTTTTTTTTTGAAAATTAAAAAATCTTTTGTTCAAAGAACAACAAACAATACGTATCAGACACTGTGTTGATGGTACATTCCATGAGAAAACGAAAAAAACTCCTAGATACGGTATTGTAGTAGCATACCTATGGATGATAATTGGTATGTCCCCTTTCACATAAATACAGTAGTAAATACTGTATGTTGATATGCAATTAGAGATTCCTCTCCAGCTGTGCTGGTCAAGTTTTCTGCCTCCGGGCATAGAGGATTCCCAGATGAGGCTATGTCAAGGACAGAGTCTCGTCTCGGGAAAAAGCAAGCAGATCTAGTTTTATATTGGGTCTACAGGGTAATTCTGGCCGAACCTACCCGGCTCGGATACCCCATATTAAATTTGGCCTTCTGCCATATCAGACTGCGTAGGGTGGTTGGTAGATATCCTGCAGTCGGAGATTCGTCTCTAGCTGTGCTGGTCAAACTCTCTGGATCTGAATAAAGAGGATCCCCAGACTAGGCTAAGTCGAAAGGCAGAGTTTTATCTGTGGAAACAGCTATCCGACCCCATTTTATACGGGGACTACGGGGAATTTTTGGACAAGCTGACAAGCACGAATACGCCACATTATATTCGGCCTTGTGCCACATCTGATCGCGAAGGGCGGTTGGTAGATATCCTGCAGTCGGAGATTCGTTTCCAGCTGTGCTGGTCAAACTTTCTGGCTCCGGGTAAAGAGGATCCCCAGACTAGGATAAGTCGAAGGCTATGCGAGAGTGGCTATGTCGAAAGGCAGTCTTGTCTCGGAAAACAGGTACCCGACCCCGTTTTATACGAGGTCTACGGAGAATTTTTCGGATATCCCACATTAAATTCGGCTTTGTGCCGCATCTGACTGCGTGGGGCGGTTGGTAGATATCCTGCAACTGAAGATTCATTGTGGAATTTACTTGACTCATTTCTAGTAGTTGACTACTTATTCTACGCACCACTGGCGGATCTTATATGTGCTGTTCTTGTCCTAAGTATTATCGTTCATTACCAACCTTCGTTTGATTATTCTTTTCAATAGCCTTACCTAGGTTGCAACACTATCTATCTTAGCTAGCTAGCTAGCTATCACAATGTCTTCATATAAATCTATCTATCTATCTATCTATCTATCTCAATGTCTTCAGATCTATCTATCTATTGTATGGCAACGTGGTTCAGTTATTCATTTGATTAATAATAATCGATTAATGTCTATCGTTTCATTATTCTTCAGGTCAATGACGTGTAGGCATTTTGATTTGTAATTGTTGTAGCATACCTATGGACGATAATGGCCATGTCCCCATTCACATAAATGTAGTAGTAAATACTGTATGTTGGTCTGCAGTTGGAGATTCGTCTCCAGCTGTACTGGTCAAACTCTCTGCCACCGCTCTGAGAGGATCTCCAGATAAGGCTATGTTGAAGTGCAGCGTCTCATCACGGGAAACAGCTACCCGGCCCCGCTTTATACGGGATCTACAGGGAATTTTTGGCCGAGCCTGCGGGCTCGGATACCCCACGTTAAATTCGGCTTTGTGCCGCATCTGACCCTGTGGGGCGGTTGGTAGATATTTTGCAATTGGAGATTCATTGTGGAATTCTCTTGACCCACTTCTAGTAGTTGACTACTTATTCTACGCACCACTGGCGGATCTTATATGTGCTGTTCTTGTCCTAAGTATTATCGTTCATTACCAACTTTCGTTTGATTATTCTATTCAGTAACCTTACCTAGATTAAAGCAGGTATCAAACGAAAGCGAGAAGAAAGGGACAAACTATCAAGAATATGAAAATGGAATCCATTGTTGTCAGTAAAAGAGAACGACCTTAAGAGTTGGGGGAGGGGGATTGATTTCTAGACGCCAGAATAAAGCAAGTACAAAAATTTAACTGTACAGAGTTTGTGACAATAGACGACGGAAGATTTGATAGAGAAATTCGAAGGCTTAATCGAGCAACATGCCTTCCAGAAACTAAGCAAAGTGTTATGAACTATGAAAATTTCGTTAGAAACAAGTAAGAATGTTGAACTGCTTTGTCACATCGATCCTCCTACAGGGCGATGAATAATAGACAATTTCTACTCCTACAAAAACGAGACACGAATCGACAAAGATTCGATCCTGCCAACGAATGTCCTCGGTTGTTTGATTTGGTTTAGCGGCATATCAACACCACTGTGGGTTATTTAATGCTGAAATCTTATTATATTGTGCATAATTTTATGCCTTCAGGGAAAACGTACCATTTTGGATATTTAGTTTGTAAATAAAAAAATGTATCGTTATTAATTCTTTTCTAAATATATTGCTGATAATTTCAGTACAAAATGTATTGTTGGTAATTTTACTATAAAAATGTATTTTTATACTTTTTTTAAGTGTTACATTGATTGTCATTTTGCTGCAAAAACTTATTGTTGGTCATTAGAGTAAAAAAAATGTCCTGTTGATATTTATTTGGGGGTTCCCTATTTGCCCATAGCTGGGACCCTAAAAGGTGCTAGCATCCTGAATCAGGACGGACCTGGGAACAACATCTGTTAAGAGGTGGTTCCACACTCCACAAAACCTCCAGTCAGTGTCTTTCTGCCGGATGGAGTTTATCGTCAGGCCCAGGAATAGAATGCTCTCTGGATAACATGTACTGACCAAGTGATCAAAGAGGAAGAAAATGTGAAGTAAACGGAGACTTATGCTTAAAGTCAGGAAGACGAAGTTGAAATCTCTGGTATAAACAATGAAGAAAGAGGGCTTGGAAAATTTAACACAAACAGAACATAGAATGGAAAGAAAAGCATGAAAAATTAAATGCACATTCATTGATCAAGCAGACGCAGACTGTCTTTAAACATTAAGCCAAAAATCACCCGACGCTCGTCAGTAGCCAAAATGGTTTTCTCCAAGGCCGTATACGTCAAGATTAATACTAGGAAAAACAAGGAACTCCATTGGTCTATTCTACACTCACCTAACTTATTCGTTTGAAATTACAACAATCTATTATTACATTTTTCGATCGATTCAAAATGCTTTTACTGAAATATCATTCACTAATGGAAACCAGATTTAAGAATTCTTCGAAAATATTTTTGGCATCAGAAACTGCAAATTTTAATCAAAGTTTATCGAAGTGCTACCTGATAGAAAATTATATATGTAATCATTAGAGGAAATGAAAATATTGATATATTTGTTTCATAGATCCTATCTGTTATATATGTAATCATTAAAGGGAATGAAAGTGTTGACGTATTTGTTTAATAAATCCTATCTTTTATATATGTAATCATTAGAGGGAATGTTTAATTTGTTGAATAAATCCTATCCGTTATATATGTAATCATTAGAGGAAATGAAATGTTGACGTATTTGCTTAATAAATCCTATCCGTTGTATATGTAATCATTAGAGGGAATGAAAGTGTTGACGTATTTGTTTCATAGATCCTATCTGTTATATATGTAATCATTAGAGGGAATGAAAGTGTTGATGTATTTGTTTAATAAATCCTATCCGTTATATATGTAATCATTAGAGGGAATGAAAGTGTTGACGTATTTGTTTAATAAATCCTATCCGTTATATATGTAATCATTAGAGGGAATGAAAGTGTTGACGTATTTGTTTAATAAATCCAATCCTTTATATATGTAATCATTAGAGGGAATGAAAGTGTTGACGTATTTGTTTCATAGATCCTATCTGTTATATATGTAATCATTAGAGGGAATGAAAGTGTTGACGTATTTGTTTAATAAATCCTATCCGTTATATATGTAATCATTAGAATCCGGAATAGAGGGAAATGAAAGTGTTGACGTATTTGTTTAATAAATCCTATCCGTTAGTGTTATATTTGTTTCATAGATCCTATCATATAGAGGAATGAAAGTGTTGACATATTTGTTTAATAAATCCTATCCGTTATATATATATAATTGTTTGTGGGAATATTAGTTTTTTAAATCCTATCCGTTATATATTTAACGAGGAATATTTATTTGTTTTGTTTGATAAAATATCCGTTATATATAATAGTTATATATAGTTTTTAAAACATTAACGATGTATATTTATCCTTATCGAATTTTGCCAAATATATTATTATTTATATTTTTAAACATTCGAACTATTATCCTTATCGTTGTTATCACAGTTACAACGTTTCGGCCGTTTTCTGGTGTCTTTCCGTGTATTATGAACCGGACCCTTTATTTACTTTTCGCTGTTAAACACAGGAAATCAGTTGAGGGAATATACGTTTTGCCGTATTTGTTTCATAAATCATGTTTCACCTTTATATATGCAATTATTAGAGGGAATGAAACATTTCTCGTGTTTATTTAATAAATCCAACTATGATATATGCTGTCTATTAGAAAGAATGAATACTTTAACTTGTTTGTTCAATAAATCCAGGACCTTATATATATATATATATATATATATATATATATATATATATATATATATATATATATATATATTCAAAAGCGGGAATGAAAGTTTGGACGTGTTCGTTCAATAAACCCTGGCCCTTATGTCACAGCTTATATAAACGTATTATTTACTAAAGGCAAATGTTCAGACATCCGTTTCTTCTGCTCTTTATGAAAATCAAATCAGAAGCCACTTATGCTTACTCTCCGCCGCTAACGGCCAACGATAACATTCAATGACCTCTACATGGCTCTACTGTAAGTAATTCACATTTAACACTGAAAGGGCAATCTGATAAGCAAACAATCTGTTACGGGTCACATTACGTGCAACATGTCGAATATTTGGAATAAGTTTAACGATACTCGAATCAGATATAAGGAGACCTTTTCAAGCCAGGGAGACCTCAACGTCTGGGGTATGAATACACGACGTATTCCATTACTTCGTTTATTTACAGCTAATTTTGACTAATCTAAATTAACTCTATTTAACAATTTGTCTTTTTTTTTTTTTTTTTTTTTTTTGGTTGGATTATCATTAACGGATTATAATGTATATAATATTTTTATAAACCTATAAATAACACTGTTTTTTTAACAAGTCTGTAATTTAAAATGAGATTCACAGTGGAGTAATGGAGAGCGTCTCGGAGTGAGGAATCGGAGATCCGAGTTCGAATTCCAGTCAAATCCATTACATTCACTTACTTGCTAATACCCTGGGGAAAGGAATGAACCCTCTTTGTTTCCCCAGCTACGCGAAAATAGCAGGACAGACCTGGTTCTGTAGCCTTTGATGGTGTTATGGTAATTTGATCATGCACGCAAGAAGTCTCCCAGCTATAAATAGGAGCAGGTACTGCCTTTTTGGAGGAGAAGTTTCCAGCAATCAACTCTGACGGTCGAACCGAACATTTCTTGCTGTAACACTCTCGTTTGTATATGCTTCTATTAATTCTTCTGTTAATATATTTAACCCAATTCCTCTCTTTGTGTCTTTATTTCTGGCCGCTAACAAGGCCACATCAGATGGCAACTGGTCTACCGTAGAAATAGCAACCTACTGCGGTATCAAAAGATATATATTCGCCTAAGCGTGTATCACGCATGACACATAATTGCCTGATAACTTAAAATATCTATAACTAATATATTTATTTAATAAATTGTAACTCTTATATATGTGATATGTCCCGGAACGGGATATATTTGAACGAAGTAGAATACGGTAGCAGTAATCGACTGGTACGCGTCGTAGTCGCAGGTTAGAAGTGTAGATCAATGGCGTAGTCCAATGGGCGTCGTTATAGACTTAGCTCTCAGACTAAGGCTCTCTTTGACTCTTCTGACCTCCACGTCCGTCGATATTTATGACGGACACCAGTCAATCATATTCTAGTGACACAGGGGTACACATTCCATTATTCCATTATATCAAACTGAAATAAATTTTTGACGGAGAAACTAGTAGAAATATATATATATATATATATATATATATATATATATATATATATATATATATATATATATATATATATATATTAAGCATTTCACCCCAAGCAAGGCAGGGAGTGCCACTCGAACGCAAAGGGTCACAGAATGTGAGAGTAGGAGTAAAGAGGGGTGTCTAAGGAGAGGATAAAGAGAAGGAAGGGGGTCAAGATAAAGGCAACGGGAGATATTGATTGACATTACATTTAAATTTTTAAAGATTATAGCTATCAGGAAAAGAAGTAAGA